ACCATCTGCGAGCTATTCTGACGTGCACTGCCAAAACCGCTAGAGTTACGCATATGTAATGAATGATGGAAATGTTTTCTTAAATAGATAACTTCATTTGTTTTTTTCAACGCCACGCTACTATAAGCTACTCAAAATACCAATCCTGCGCAGACGAAATCGTAACGAATAGATAATAAAAATAACTTAATACAGTAGGTACATAGTTCATGGAACATTTGTCGCGAGTACGCAATTATTGCATTTACAATACCTAACCTTTGCAAGCAGTTTACCTCACTGACAGACTCATCCTTATAAATTTATTTACATAAAATGCAATCGTAAAGGGCACAGTAAAATACACGATTTCACTTCGGCGAGTTATCAATCTATACTATCTTAAAAGAAGTATTTTCAAGACAAAATAGGCCATAAAATTTACAGATAGAATAAAATTTAACGACGGAAAATATTATTAATAATATTTTTGATTACACTTTTAAATCTTACCATGGGTAATATAATATGCAAAAATTTTATATGATTGCTTTGCTTTTCAATGATAGTAGAAAAATACAATATAATACTAATCAAAACTCACAAGTACCTCAAACCCACAGATATTATTTTAGTTTTAACTACATCAGCTGAAAATCTGCCTATGTTAAAAGGCCGGCAACGCACTTGCGAGCTTTCTGGCAATATGACTGTCCAGCGTCCTGCCCGTTTGCTTCCTATTACATAACAAAAAAAGAAAAAAAGTCGAAATTTTCGGAGGGTGATTTTGTGCAAACGTTTTTTTTCATATTTAATAACTATTTAAAAACTTCTATGTTAAAAAAAGAACATAAATTATAGTATTTTTTGTATATTGAAGAAGCCACATTACAAGATATTGAACATATGTTATTATATATAAGTGGCTTTTGAGGTTTACCTAGAAGGCCAGTAACTAATTTATAAAACAATTTACGAAGAACCTTTGGTTTATTATTAAACGGCAATGTTTATTAATAACAATTATAACTTTAAAATAGGACAGTATTTAATTAATTTCCCGAATATATTTTAAGCGTGATATATTTTCCTTATTTTTAATTTGTTTTAACAGATAGACGTCGACTAGTAAAAAAGGGACATCATTCTTTTGTTTTTTTACGCTATAATAAAATAATGAATTTAATACCTATTTCAATCATCTTAAGAGATAATATTATAATGCTTATGAAATTAAAAAAAACAAGAATAATAAAACAATAACTAATCTTAAAATATAATAACTAAAATATATTATTAAAAGGAGTCCCTTTAGGTAAGGTTCCGAAGATACTGGCAGCCTTCCCCCTTTGAATAGCTAGACTAATTGTCCGAGGTAGCTGCCAGCTCTTCGGTCTCCTGTGATGTGGACTAACCTTTTTGATATTTCCTTAAAAAGTCTTATATTGCTAGGACCCCACGGACCAAGGGTCTCGACACCGAATGGGACAAAATCATATTCGGAGCCTAGACCCCTGTATTTGCAGGCTTTAGTTTTTTCAGCCGCATCACAAGCCGCACCAGCTCTGTTGTTGGTTCCATGTAGATGAAAAGGGGACAGTGTATCTTAACAGGTTGCATCCTATACCCGGCCCATCTTCCATGGAATCAAATTCTTTAGTTATACATCACCTGTTCTCTAAAAATTATCATTTATCAGAGTAATTAGCGTTCCTGTACCGTCGTTTATTTTAATTAATTATGGTACGATATTAAGAACAATTCAACGTTACAATCTAGTTGAGGCGTGTGAGTGCCTAATTTGACGAAAACCTTTGTCTTTAGAAGGTCTCTAGCCAATTCTATTCCCACAAATTACAAAACAGCTTATTAACCGCCTCTGTCTCATTAACGTTTTTGCACGTTTCCACTCATTTGCAAATGTGAATCTATTAAGTGGCTCTTAGTTGACACTTGAATACCGCACTAGACAAGCGGGCATTGACTTGTAATACAATGGTATTAAATAGTGTCGTCTTATTTAGGTCATATGGCAACACTTTGTCTCAAAGTTTAGCATTCTCGAATTTTGATAGTTTTTCTATTCGTATTCCTGAATTTTTTTTCCTGAGCAGTGTTGGCCTAGTGGCTTCAGCGTGCAACTCTCATACCTGAGGTCGTAGGTTCGATCCCCGGCTGTGCAGCAATGGACTTTCTTTCTATGTGCGCATTTAACATTTGCTCGAACGGTGAAGGAAAACAACAGATTCAGAAATCTGAGGCCAAGACCTAAAGAGGTGTACAACGAATTTACAACGAACCAAAAGGACTTATTGAAATACCAAGAGATTATTTAATTTTATAAACTCATGCGCCTGTATTTTTTGTTGATAAGATTTTGATTCTAAAAACTGTAGGCGTTCCATTTTTGGTTTTGTGATATTACTCTTCGTCTCTTCATGACATAAAGTCAATATGACTTTTTATGATTTTGGACAAATGGTTCTCTGTTTATTTATACTAACCCCTCGTTTTTAAATATTATTTTACATGTATGTAGAGTTGCTAGAGCTTTCTGTGCTGATAAAAAAATATTATGTAGCCGGAAATCTGAGCCAGAACTAACGTTGTTTAACACTAACAGCTAAATTATGACTGCTGGTACCAAAATTTCTTATTATTTTTAATAAAAGTATTGTATTTTTTGCTATTTGAAAACTAGTCATAACATTGTAACTCAACACTTTATATAACATGTCATCCGAATTTTGGATCGATTCTTTATTGTTTTTGTAAAAGGTCACCACTTAATATACATAAATTCACGTGAGATCGGCGTGCTTGGAGATTATGACAACATATTGCTTTAAGTTTCTCGCAAATTTTACATTTTAAAAATTAAAATTATTCACTTATTTGAAATAATTATGAAATTGAAGATTGAAGTAGAGTGACCGGGAGCGCATTATTATTATGACCAACAAGGACCGCGTCATAATATTAATAAGAAATCGTTTATTTGCAAAGAAAGTGGTACATTCAGATTGATTAATTATAAAAAAACCAGCACAATCTAATATATAAAATTCTCGTGTCACAGTTTTCGTTGCCATACACCTCCAAAACGGCTCGACCGATTCTCATGAAATTTTGTGTGCATATTGGGAATGTCCCTAAATGTTAAGGGTAGTCCACCCCTAAATATATATTTTTTTATTTTTAGATATTTTTTTCTGTTTTTATTTTTTTATGATACAGCATTAAAAATACATACAAACCCCTAACTTTCACCCCTCTACGATCAACCCCTATTTTTTTATTATAAATGATATAAATGGCAAAACGACGTTTGCCCGGTCAGCTATATAAATCAGGTGGTATGTGCATCAATTCGGTTTATAGCTTTATAAACAAAACGAAATAGGCATTTATGAATGGCGGCAATTCTCCAAAACTCAATATACACTTTTGCGTGAAAATTTGAGTTATCTTTGTTCAGTTAAATTGTATTAAGATTCCTAATGATCCATCTAAATGTCGTGCGCAAGGTCAAAAGTTGTTACAATGTGTGTGAACTTAGTTTAATGTCAGGAGTAATATTCCATTAGATCTTCTACTTTGGCTTTAATTTTTGAATTATCCACATCGCGATGTCCACACTAAAGAAATTAAATATTATATTATTGGGAAAATATATGTTTAAATGAATAACCTACTTTGATAAAAACGCGTTATATTACAATAATTTTACAATTCTTTGATTTTTGCTTTCTATACGTGTTTTCTATAAAAGTATTTTATGAATACGATTTTACCTTTATAGCTAGTGTAGCGTAACAACTATACTGATTGACCAATGCAGAAATATCAATTGAAATATTATTCTGAAGAAATTCTAAAAATTTTATACAATCAAAACCGTTTACGACGACATCGTTTAGAACAACGTACCGGTTATAATAAAAATTAACAGACTTTGTTGATGTAGAAAAATGTTTATATGAACGTAATGTCTTTTTATTAAAAAAAATTATGTGAAATAAATAAAATGTAGTTTTATTTTATACATGAGTATATTAATAACACATTCAATAATAAGGTTCTTAATAACAACATCATCGGCTGTTACGACTATCGGATTTTACGACCAAATATAAGTGGTTCCTTCGATGTCGTTATAATAGATTTTGACTGTATTTTAAAGATTCTAATATTATGGTTTAATTCTGCTTAGACGACGTACTGTGAAAATAACCGAATTTTCCGACGAAACACGGTTTCAAACACATAGGGCAAACCATAGCCACATTGAAAGAAAAATAAATTGGTTTGTTAATAGATTACAATTCACGAACTGCCATAACTTTCGTACTTAACCACTAATACTGTTTAAGCAAAACACTTAGGTATAATTTTAAATGGTATTTGAAGGTTTCTTGCATTTATTACGAGTTATTGTTTAGCTTGGTCCCAATTAGCATGGACTTAGCATGTTTGCGCTACTCATGCGTGACCTAAATGCTGTTTGTGACGCTATTGGCAAAATATTCGAATGTTTTTAATGTTTATTACGAATGTATTGTCAATGATTTTTATTTTTAATTTGGTATCTATACTAATATTATAAGCTGAAAAGTGTTTGGCACTATGTTAAGCCCTAATCATACTAATCGTACTACTGATTTGAATTAATTTTTTGTAGATAGATTGGATATCGATATCGGGGAACGTATATAAAACTCATCCGCAATGCAGAAAAAACGCGAGTTACAGCTAGTTATGTATTATAGCCAAAATGTCATTAAAAATGCAATAAGATTTTACATTGATAAATGTTTTCTCCTGGTTTCAAATCTCGCGACTAAATGAAAATAATATTACGTAAATAATGTTGTGGAAGCAGTTTTAGAAGCTTTAGCGTATTTAAAAATTATAAACCTTTTTTACTACATTTCTCCATTTTATTAAAAAAAACACTGTATATCTGTTTATTACTTCTGTCATTTTTGCTCTTAATATTTAGCAGGCGTATCCAATTCATTATGTTAAGTTTAGTTAGAGAGAGACTGAAATTGATTGGATGTGAATTAAAGAATATTATATGCAAAACATGTCTTTTTCAGAAACTTATATGTTTACTGTGCGTGGTGGCTGCTTCCCTGGCAGCACCGCAAAAGCCTGCCGACCAAGTCATTGCAATTCTGAAACAAGAATTTGACCAACAAGCAGACGGATCTTATGTTTACAGGTATCCAATTTTAATTGTATATTATTTATCATAGAAAAGGGAGTGCGTGTTTTTTTTCAATTATATAGATAATTTATTAATAAAAAACGAATGTATTCTACTTGAACTAAACCAGGATTGTGTAACAATATGATTATGATGGAGTTAATGATTTATATTAGACTTTAAATTGTTCCTGTAAATGCGGTATAGAAGAATGCCTACTAAGGTAGTCGGTAGTGTGATATGTTGAAATCCTTAATGTTCTAAGATATAAGAAGGTCACTTAATTATACAATGCAGACAGAGATGTAATTTTTACAATTAATTATATTATTTAACACACTGTTATTATGACAATAGAAAAACAAAAACAGCTACAAATATAATTAATTATTATATAATTTTTAATACACTTTGAAAAATATAGATAAACCCACACAACCTTTACAAACTATGTAAGACTTATTTTTGTAAGCTATCGCGGAATACTCCTTGTATTAGGAATATACATAGCGCTAAATCATCTGCATCATGAGCACACCCTCATACACACCCTTAAATACTTTCACTTTCACACCATCACACAACACAGCCGAAGGTATTACTTAGTTAAATGTATTTAATAATTTCTATGGTTTTTTTATTTTGTAAATGTTTGGCTATATCTTTAGTATAATTATTTTTGTTTTATAATTTATGTTAGCTGTAGGATTACGATATAAATAAATAAAACCATATATTACTTAGGAAGCTTTCAAGTATTACGTCATGCAATTTTTGGAGATTATTGTCCCCCCCCCCATGTAACGCGCCGTAACGTTTTTCTGTACCCAAGTACAGTATATACCCCTAGTAAAACGTTTCATGACCACCTAGTGATTTTTTTTATACCTAAAAGTTACCATTATGTTGTATAAAGTACTGGAAAGCCGAAAATAATATTAACATTAATTCGTAATTCAATCCCTTCCCCGAATCGCAACGTTTTACAAAAGGACAAAAAAAATTCGTTACGTAATACTTGAACGCTCCCTTACACAAAAAGCGTAAATTATTGTAATTTACAGTTACGAGACTGAAAATGGCATCAAAGCTGACGAGCAGGGGACCTTGAAGAAGGGGAGCGGCCCTGACAGCAACGACGTTATTGTGGCACAGGGAGCCTTCAGCTACACGGCCCCTGATGGGACGGTCATCAATCTCAATTATGTCGCTGACGATGAAAATGGATTTAGACCCGAGGTATGCTTATACAAAACATATACTTATAAACTTATCATTAAACTATAACAATTCTCTAAGGCATAACACAATTGGTTGTAATTTTTTTTTTAATGGAATATCAGATAAATGTTATTCCACACCATTAAATTTGTATCGGTAGACATTCCTACTCATCGGCAAAGAAGAATAACAGTGTTCGACTGTTTTATTATTGTTAAGAGTCACCCTCCAATGGAGTATAGACGAGAAAAATAATGTTTAGACGAGGATGAGACCTTAAAATTTTATCCACATCACCTTGATGGCTGAAAGTCTTCCACGGTTAGTTAGCGAACTAGCGAACTGTGACTCGACTCAAGACTACTCCAATTGTTTAAAGAAAGAGTATACTCCTCCGTCAAAGGCCGGCAACGCACCCACTAAAATGGGTGTCTATGGTCTGCGATGATTGCTCTTTTTGGGCTTCCCGTAGCCTTGTTTGGATTGACTTGACCTCTAGCCTATAAAAATACCTAAAACCACCAAGACAGTATTGTCAGTCATAAATTCTTACTTTTCCAATATTTCTACGTGCCGATCTGGTATTATCAAATGTTTACAAAGAACTTCAACACTCGCCTTCAACGAAGCGAACAATGCGAATGTTTAAGTACAACGTTAAGTGAACTTCATCGCAATGTCCCGTAAAGACCTCTTCATAACTTTGCCGTGTTAGGTTATAAATTATTGCTACACTATTAAACTATAATCATCATTTATTTCTCATATAAATGTTATATTTTGTTAAATTAAGGAACAATTCAGTGTATGTATTGGTTACTAACAAACAAGTTGATACGGATATTATGAATGGAAAATATATTTCTTTTTGTGAGCAGAGTGGCTTCAGCGTGCGACTCTCATCCCCGAGGTCGTAGGTTCGATCCCCGGCTGTGCACCAATGGACTTTCTTTCTATGTGCGCATTTAACATTTGCTCGAACGTTGAAGGAAAACATCGTAAGGAATCCGGCTTGCCTTAAACCCAAAAAGTCGTCGGCGTGTCTCAGGCACAGGAGGCTGAACACCTACTTGCCTTTTGACAAATGATTATGAAACAGATACAGAAATCTGAGGCCCAGACATAAAAAGGTTTCAGCGTCACTGATTTACTTTATATTGTATTTTTATGAAATATCTCAAACTATACATATAGCAACGCGTAACGTATCTTAGTTTTAGATATTCAAAATAAAAAAAACAAAATTTCACTTAACATTATCCTAGTAAAGAAATTCTTAAAAATCACATTTATTCTTGAATACCTATTTTATTTGAGAACCTTTATTGCGTGTTCCAGGGTGCCCATCTACCAACACCACCACCAATTCCGCCAGCAATACAGAAGGCTTTGGACTACCTGGCAACTTTACCACCTCCGCCACCATCAAGAGCTTAACCCACAGACCCACGCTAATGAACCGATACTCGACAGCGGGCATACAAAACTGCACCGTGTACATAATATAATATAAGTAAGCAAGTGAAAAAGAACAAAAATAAATGCTCAAAAATCGATCTGTGATAGACCATATATTGATGTCATGAAATTATATATTAATTATTTATTAAACGCAAAATCAGTGCCAAAGATGCATTGCAAATAACAGTTTGTTTTATTGATGACATATTTGAGACAATAGATGTCTTTGACAATATTTATCGATGGGGTGTTAATGGTTGTTAAGGCCATTTCCGTTTAATTAAAAAATAACAGACAATAGCCTGACATAAGAACTATAAATAGCGATTGTATAAATTATTGAGCTTTGACAATGCATTTTTCTCTTTAATTATCAAATTCGTACATCGGTTTAAAGCGCTGATGTATTTCTTTCATTTATTAGTAATCTTACAGCTAACATACATGTTATAAAACGAAACACTTATACAATATACAAATCCAAAACAGATTACATTGATAAATAATGTATGTGTAAGATAAGTACATTAATAGACAAAAAAGTAACTGAAATTTAACTATAAACAAATGACAATTAATACTTAATATTTAGAAGAAGAAACTAAATTGTTACTGCTGAACAAAGAAGCCCGATATAGTAACAGCTTTTCAGATATAGTAACAGCCTTCTAAGCGTAATTCACGTTGGGTCATTTCACAGGTATTTTTTGTTCATGGGCTTGTGGTCTATAGTACAGTGCTTTTAATAATTTTTCTTATATAATATGACTTAAAAGTAAAATTAATACGATTTGAAAAAAAACCCGGTATTGTTCTCTGACCGAGTTTCCCTTCAGAGACCTATCGGTTTTATTCGCGATTATATTCAATTGATGCTTCTGCGGCGTTTTATTCGCCATTGCGTAACGGAACTAAAAACTTATTAAAACTACACGACCGCACTAGGGACCACGGGGTCGCTTTCGCATTCAACGGGACCTCAGTAAATGCTGCGTTGGAGACCCTGCAAGAGGAGGTATGTTACCAGTAATCTTACCTAAGAAGATATGTATATTGTCTGATGAAATGACGTATTTGATATTTTTGTAAATGTACGACTTAATATGTCATTTTATTAGCACGTAGTATTTGACTTATTGATAACCAAACAAGAGGTATCATGGATTTCTGCGAAAAACGTATTGTAAAATTTATCGGTAAATAGTGCTTTAGGCTGCCGACGAAAACTGTATATCATATAACATATCATCATTTGGGCAAACTATCTATGGATCTGGTTATAGGTCTAAGATATTCCATACAACGCTTTCTTTCACTATTCGAATTATTAATTGCGCATAAACAAAGACAAATTTGCCACATTAAGTTTATCTATTTAGAAGACCTAACCTTACCAAGCATAATAAATAATAATTTCGAAATTAAAATGCTGATTAAAAGGTTTACAGACTAAACAATAATAAATATAGCGAGTATGAGAGTGTGTGTGTATTTGTGTGCGTGTGTTCCACGGATCTTTTTGTTACCAACTCACGTAGGCATTGCACATAGCCAAAAATAAAACTTATTTACACTGTCAACCTAGAAAAATTTTACTACGGACCGAGTAAAATTAAAGAAAAACGGCTGTTTGTATCAAAGCTAGAAGATTGCTGTCTGAGGGCTGAACTAGTACTAAAAATATGTATCAAACATTACATAATAAACCAGTGGTGCTACAATCTTTTGAAGTCTGGGCCTCAGATTTCTGTGTCTGTTTCATGATCATTTGTCCAACTACTAGGTAAGTAGATCAGCCTCTTGTGCCTCACACACGCAGTCGACTTTTTGGGTCTAAGGCAAGCCGGTTTCTTCAAGATGTTTCCTTCACCGTTCGAGCGAATGCTAAATGCGCACATAGAAAAAAAGTCCATTGGTGCACAGCCGGGGATCGAACCTACGACCTCAGGGTTGAGAGTCGCACGCTAAAGCCACTAGACCAACACTGCTCAATTAGCAATACATAATACCTATTATAATATGAAGTATTTGAAAATTAAAATATAATTCGTTCATTTACATAATGCACAGATTTAAATGAAAAGATGAATATGAGAAATTAAGTTTTCCATATACATTTATTGCCAATTCTCCAAAGCATAAGAGAAGTGGCAAGAATCACTTCGACTCACTTTAAACACCATGTTGATTTAAATGTTTCTATCTATCTCTACCTTTACTTCAATGTCGTAAAATCCTAATTCTTAGAAATAAAAAAATCTAATTTTGACCAAACAAGAAAAAGCTTTGAAAAAAGACTAAAAGGAGAGCTTTTATAAAAACAATTTGATTACGATAGGATAACAAGAAACAAAAGAAATCATTATAGAAGTAACTGTCGTATCAATTAAAAATATATATAAATATGTTGACCTTTGTGATTTAAGCGATCTGAGATTACCACATGATTACCAAATGTAACTCGAGACCAGTCATTCATCGAGCAGTTTGACCAGCAGCCACCAAACGGACATGCCAACTGCAACCTGTTTTGCAAGGTCACTTTGGTCCATCCATAAACTTTATATTTAAATTATGCATTTTTTTAATAATGGCATTCAAAAGCTGCGCTGCGTACGTATACATCACGAAGCATTTACTGTATTCTATATATAATAAACTAGCTGTATTTGTTTATATATTTGGTACAACAAAATTAATCTAATAAATAAAATTTGTCATAAACTAGCGTTCAGTCCAGGATTATGTCAAATATGTAAGAGTTAAACATATGGTATCCTGTTTTTTTTTAATAGAAATTGATGTCTTCAATAAATCTGTAGAACCACTTTGCTGTATTATGTATAGTTTACGCAACGGGAAAGGATTTATTTATTTCACTCATCAAAGTATTTACCCGGTTTCCTAACGTTTTTTGAAAATATTGTAGTCATAAGGGATAATGTTGGATTGTAATCAGTTTAGTAATTTGAAGCCTATTCTGTGAAAACAAATATTAAAATCATTCCTCGTTAGTCAGTGTCAAGCAAAAAAATCTGTTTCAAAACAGTAGTAGTAGTAGTAGTAACAGAATAGCAAGTAGTTTTTAGTCGTGTCGTTTCGATATGTATACGCTTGTCCAAAACTATTCCACGCAATTTTGTTGGTGAAACCTGATATGAGGAAAATTATTATCGGCGTTTATAATTGGAATTGTACCCGCATAAGTTGTGCGCAATATATTTTTTTACGCATTACTAATAAGTCTATCCTCTTCTTGTCTATGAAGAAGAAAATAGTTAAGAAAGAGATAGAATTTTCGGCCAAGATCTTGAGTCGTAGTGTGTATGAGTATATGATTATTCCTTACCAACCAAACCGTAACAATAAGCGCTTTAGCGAGAATCAAACGCAGGGTATGTGTAACCACGGAGGTGTATTGAAGATATATATTGACAAATATATTCATAGTTAACACAATTCGCAGTCAAATAACATTTATAGTACCCCAATACGACAATATAAAACAAAATCAACGGCGGGCCGATTCGTTAATTACCCTTTATGATTCATGAAATAATATTTGTTAAGATTAGTTAAGGAAATACAAATATCGTAAATTTACATAGCCACATATACGACTACAAAACATTGTACAAAAGCGCGTAATGATTGAACACACAAATATACACAGATGTATTATACGCCCCAATTAGTCAAGGAACTATAACAATAAACGTGTCAAGTATCGTTTGACACATAAGTTTAAAAAAAAAAATGTATTTGAAAATCAAATGATTTATTCATTAACATAATGCACAGATTTGAAGGGAAAAATGAATATGAAAAGTGAAGTTTTCTATATTTACATTTATTGCCAATTCTCCAAAGTCGAGCAAAAGAGAACTGCCTTTTTAAATTCAATGTTGATTTAAATGTTTGTAAGGTGTGTAACAGACACAGAGTCCCACTGGATATATCAAAGTAATAATTCATAATAATACATAAAACTAGATGGAGGGTCCATCAGCATAAATCGGGTATAAATCCAAATTTATTACTTTATTTGAGCAACTTTTTTTTAGTTCGAGAGAACGGAATAAAACATACAACAACAACAACAACTCTCGTATTTATAAAAATAAAACAGACTAATTTCACTGTTTTAAAGTACTCATCTATCTCTTTTCATAAAAGCGTAATTTCCCTTTAAACCTTTACAAAATACTTCATTACCTACACTGCTAACTTTTACTAATGTTATTATTATTTTATCTATTTTGCGACAAAGGCGCAAACTAGCTGCTGTGGTCCTGGCAGAATGACCAGCGCTGTGGAACATTCTGCTCCGTATTCCCTTGAAACGAACCGAATAGGAAAAGAGAATTTTTTATATGTCTCATTATATTTTTTGTTTAATTTTTTTTTCCCTTATTGTTATTTTGTGTGTTTATGTGTGTGTGTTTTTGTTTGTAATAAATGATATGTCTATGTCTAAATATAACGTAGAAGGAGACGTAGGTGTACTAGTACTTTAGTTAAAGTAGTGCAATTAAACTTATTAAAAAGGTCTTTTGGACGTGAAAACTGAGAAATTTAAAGAGAAAAAAAGCTTTGACAAATTTAGGTTTGGGTTGAGGTGAGAGTATGTCTTCATCTTCACAGCCTCTGTAACACATTAACACGTGCTCCTGTAGTACACCGTCAACTAAAGATACTTACTTATCTATTATAATTAGGGATGTGACATTCTGCATAAAAAAAACGATTTTTTATTAATCGATTATTTTTGTAGCATAAATAATCGATTAATAAATAATCGATTTTTTTTATTAATCGATTTTTTCCTAATTTTTGAATTAATTTCAAAATAAACACCCTAAATATTTAATTTTTCATAGTTTTTTAAATAAAAAATAAACAATAGAAATTATAAACACAAATTAACGTTTAAGAATAATCAAAATCGAAATTAACTTAATCTCGTTTTGATAGATTTTGATAAATGCTGAGTGTATTCCTTTTCAGTAGCACATTGCAGTATTTTTGTTGTCTTTTTAATTGTATGTAGTCTTGTGCTGCTGAATAAATTTATTTTACTTTTAAATTATAGTGTTCCATTCAAACTTGAGTTTTTGTAAAATTAACTTCTTTTATCATCCTATTGATGTTTTACAAAAAAAATCAATGTATCGAGTATATCAATACATCTTCAAAGAATCGGATTCAATGTATCGCATTGTAAACATCGTTGTGTATCGAATATCCCTAATAGTTCGAGGTCCGGGTTATAAAAGACCAGACATAATGTCGGGAGGTGGCAGATAAAAAAATCAATTATGACTGATTTTCAATTATAAAAATAATCGATTATTAATCGATTATTTTAAATATAAAAATCGCGTAAAAAAATCGATTTTAATCGACTATTTTTTCACATCCCTAATTATAATAGACGTATGAATGTCTACTCACGCAAGTTTCGATTAGTCAAATTTAAAATATACATTATGTATGCACAGAAAAAAGTGCCCTCACTGCGGTCGTAGGTTCAAACCCCGGCTGTGCACCAATGGACTTTTAATTAATTAAAACGCTTATACGGTGAAGGAAAACATCGTGAGGAAACCGGCATGCCCTACAACAAAAAAGTAAGAGAGTGTCAGGCACCTACCTGCCTACTAGAAAAAACAAATGATCACGAAGCATATATACGTATATAAATTTGAGACTAAGTCCACGGATTGTAGAGCTATATTAAATACAGACTATTTTTGGCGTTGACATTTAATCGCAGCGTAATTGTTTTATTATACAAACAAAACAACGATATCCGTATTTTTAATTATCATATATACGTTTATTAACATTATATTATATTGTATTGTGTTTGAAAGTATATTTATTACGTTATTTATGAATGTTAATCGTAAAATCATTACGGTACATGTATTTTAAGTTCTGACACAAAGAATGATGTAAGTATTTAGTATTTACTTGAATTTTTTCATTTATATGTTTACGTGTTTTCTAGCGTCTAAGACCAAGCATCTCCGCGCGAAGATATCGCTGTTAATTAAAGAATTAACAACTTTGCATAAGTTGTTAATTCTACTCCATTCTTCTATAAATTCGATTTCAATCATCACAATTTTAAAATGATTTACTATAAAAGTATATAGTAAGGTTAAATTAAACGAAATGAAACCAGTTATCACTGGCTATACTCCTATAATGGTCCATTCTTTTTTATTTAGGTTAATTCTTCGAAAGTATACAAAACTGCGCTGAGCCTATACGGGTTTCGACCTCTTTCACAATCGTCCACTACTCGATCATTTGCGACTCCCATTTAAAGTGTACGTTAAAAAACTGCCTTTTTTAGGCGTAATATATAAATACAGTATCAGAAATCCTCTTCTCATTGGCTTCTTATATATATAATTAGAGAAGGTGTTCAAACACATACTCAATAAAACTTTAATCATATAGGTAAACAAGTACACTTATGATCGTCAGAAAAGAAGTTAAATTAATTCTAAATAGCGTAGGCGTAGAGCGGGCAAGAAGTACTGGCAAGAAACTCTCCGCCACTCTTTTTAATCGCTAAGGGTGAGATCTATAGTGCGCACTTAGACTTTGCTCTGACTTAACTATCGAGCTAAGACACAGTCGGTATTTATAGAGCAAACTGCGAATCTCTCCCTAGTGTTGGCTTAGCTTAATCTCAAGTCCACGAAATCGACGACTTACCAAAAACTTTGACTATAAGCCTAACAAAAATGATGGCCCAAAATTTGCTTTACCATCATATCTTTTACTGGACTTTTTATTTTTGTCGGTTTTTAATGAACGGTGTTGCCATTTTGTATCGGAGTTCCATAGACTTTGGGAAAAATAGAATTTGAATTCAAAGAAATTATAAATGATCTTGATAAATACCTATGAAATGCATGAATTAAAATAATTACACATTATTATGGTATTTATTATTGTTTATTTATATTATTTATGTAATTGTTCAAACCCCATTTTTGAGAAATCTTAAAAATAACTGGTGTGATTTTGTATGTCACCTGGCAGCCCTGGCATATTATAGTGACAACGAAATCAAACTATAACCTAACCGATGTCTCTCGCTTCACATCTGTTATTTTCGTTTCCCTGAATCTTCTACCATTTATTACCTGACTACTCTAAAAAATTTGAGATAGGAGTGGAACATATGAAATTAAAAAATCTGTTGGAAATAGAATTTCTTCAACAAAAATATAAATTAGTATTAGAAATATGTATTACACTTAAAAAAAAGAATCAGAAAATAAATGATTAAAATGAAACAAGTTTTGTTTTGATATTCTTTATTACCAAACAAATTACCTAGTTAAATTGTGCAATCACAGAATTCCGGAATGCTAGACCTGTAGGAGATCTTTCATTGTTTCTGTGTTACTCAACTTCTGCTGTCAGCAAGATCACCATCATCATAGGCATCCCCTCTCTGTATACCTATATTATGCAATACAACACAAGCTATAATTATATTTAACTAGTATTTGTCAATTTTGACTGTAGTCCTAGCTGTAAACATGGAAATTTCCTTTATCACACTCCGAAAAACCTTTAAAAAATATGCCTAGTTCTTATTTGAGAATAATTATAAATATTGGCAGCTCTTGTCATTGGATTTAAAAGTGTTGTTAACATGAAGTTAAGTGCTGGATAACCGCTGTCACCTACTAAAACAGGCATTTTCTAAATATCCTGCTGTCGTGTGAACTGCCAGGCCACCTAGTCACTATAGCAAATATTTCCATATCAGGCCCTATTATTGCTTGCACATTTACAGAAAAATACCCTTTTTATTTCTGTATGCTTCAGAGTGAGTGATACTTTGGGTCTATTAATTTTTATATGGGTGCAGTCAATAGCTCCGATTATACTGTTTAGGCCATGGTGAGTATTAGATCTTCCTAATTCTTCAAACTTCGTTATGGCTGTGTTCATATTTCTTAGAAAATTTACAAATCTAGGAAGTAATTTACTCAACTCTGCAGAAACTTTATTTATAATTAAACAGACTGTAGATTGGCTTATGCTGTTCAGATCACCACACACCATCTGTAATGTCAATAAATTATTATTAGTCACATATATGTTATGTTTCTGAAAGTCAGAAGACAAAAGTCTTCAACATATGTATTTAAAATCATTTGAGAAGAGGTATAATATATCAAATTGAAAAACCATACATATTTATGAACACAATATTACCTGAAAATATCCAGTTGCATTTTTATGCCTTAATGCAATAAGTATTTGCAATTGCGGTAGGTTTGGCGATCCTCTGTTGTTATAAGGTTGCAAGTTTGTAATGATCAGCGTCAGGATCACATTTAATACCGTGTGTTTCAAAATACGGTTCCTTCTTTTGAATTCATTCTCACCGTACAGGATGGAAGGATTTTGGTTTTATTAGTTCCGAACATATACTTTAGGCATTCGTGGATTCATATCGGCTGCAGTTCCTACCCTTTCAATGTTTTCTATTGAAGATAGAACTCTCTCTCTCCATCATGTCACTTTCGATATTGATATTTCCAAGCGGTCCATGTAACAAAGCCAAATCACAAAACGTCACAGTGCTTCGGGAATGCGTAGGAGTTAAGTAGGTATACGATCCAGATTGGTCCAGGTCCAAGTCACAAAGCCAGTCGTTTTTTTTGAAGAAAGTTAAATTTAATATTTATAAGCTCATACAAACAGAAACAGAAAAGAGAAAAAGTGGTTTAAAATTTTCAATTGTTGATACAAGTGCTCTGTTGCTGTTGTCAAAACATTGCGATCCGTTCTACGTAATAAAATTATTGTCATCTTTAAATAATTAATACATTTTCTAAAGGTTACTCGTAAATTTCTAGTTATTGCAATAATAAAATAAATGAATACATAAATAACAATAAATTGAAGATATATGTGTACCGTTTTAGATGTTTAAATATTTGTTATTGTTTACTTTTTTAAAGGATAATAAACAAAGTATTGCATGAAATGAAACATCAATTTGTATTTTGACATTTTCTGTCTTAGCTTGGGCTTAGCTTAATCTCACCGTTAAAATGTCTATAAATACGAAATCATAGTTTAACCTTAGTGTACACTAAGCAAAGTTTTTCGTAAGGTAAGTCTGAGCAAAGTCCAAGTGCGCACTATAGATCTCACCCTAAGTTTTGAGTCATACAAGTTGTTTGAACTGGAGCAAATCAATCCCAATTCCCAAGGATTAGGATCATTTAAATATTCGTATTATTATAAAAAGCTTTAATGATTAATTTACGTTAAACGAGAGCTTTGAATTTATTTAGTGATAATTCTCTTGTTTTTTTATTCAAGTCTGATCACCTACGTGATGAAAAACAATCAAAACAGAAGCAAAAATCTTTCCATCTTATTCGTAACGAGATATACCCATATAAAATAAAACACCAAATATTTAATAACTATAACTTTAATATTAACATTTTAATAATAATCCGTTCCAATGTCAGGTTTCTTAGTAGCGAGGATTTCTAAGGCGCGAGCAATTTCCGGTGGAATGGGTGGTGGGGTAGGTAGATGAGCTCCTACTGGGCGATAACCGTTTTCATCAGCGGTGTATGAAAGACTAAAGTCTTTCCCTTCATCATCCTATAATATAAACATCTGTTAACGAGAAAAGGCATAGAATATGTTTCAGTTTATATCTGTCCTTGACCTTACGCAAGCACTATATGAAATGGAAAGTGTTTTCTTTACTGTTCTATGACTCAACTAATACCGAACTTTCTGAGCTTATAAATAATTTCACCAGATGTCGCGGCTGTACGTATATACAAATTAAGGCAAAAAGTCACATTCCTTAATTGAAGAATTGGCAAAATTAACTTTTAATCACACTATTTTCGCACCCAACAAATACCCTGCACTCCTATTTTAATATTTTTAAGCGATTTATACGCAAATAAGATCGAATATGTTTTAATCTTGCAACTGTCTCTGAACTTATGCACTTTAGGATTCGAAGTGTTTTCTATATGTGCATATCTGTTATACAAATTTCATTGAAACATAATTGGATGAAACTCTGTCAACCATTCTAGGCTTATTCTAGGGATAATGTTCTAAAAGAATAAACATAAAATTTAAATTGACTCCATTTCAGACCAAACTTTCTAACGCAACTAAAACTGTATCAATCGACCTAGGTTTATTACAGGGTAAATTGAATTAAATATGACTTCGTATTTTCTAAAAAATGTACACGCGGTTGCGTCATCTTCGAATCCAGCACTTTGATCTCGTCATCTTTAGAAGAGTATAACAACAATCAATCTCCTTACTAAACCTTAGTACTTTTGTGAGAAAAAATAAAAATATTTATATAAAATATAAAAATAATTGCCAAACCCTATTTTTGTTTGAAATTTCTTTTTATTAAGTTTTTGGATTCGTCCTAAGCACACAGACACACAAGTTTTGTCCACACAGACTAACTTAATAGTTTTAAAAGCACGTGACACAAAATTATTTTATTAATTTGGGGCAGGTTTTTTCCCTATCGTCCGATTTTCGCTTGACGAAGATTTATCGGTCGCCTTTATGTGTCCTAATCGATCAATGCTTTAATTATGAACTCTGAAAATATAGTTGTATTATTCTTAAGATGGATATCGTACATTGTCTTGATATTTTTCGAAAATAGTAATTTAATAGACCTAAAACAATTAGCCCAAGCAAACTGTTCGAGGAATTATGACCACACATTTTAGCTTACGCAAACAACTTATTGATTCGTTGATATATCAACGGTGCGTTAATTGCTAATTTAGGCTGTAGAGTATATTAAAAAATGCACTTCGTTAAAATAAAGGTTTGTTTATCAATCAGAAATTCGTGTGTGGTTGTAAACACAGCGGTATTTACACACGATTTCAAAGTTTGCATAAGTATAATATTTATATTTTTCGAGTACATCGTTTCCTTTACGAATTCGTATGTGCAATGATTAATATCGTATATGAAAACCGATATTTGTTTAAGTAACAAAATACTGGCAAAATATATACCTATAGAAGTATTTTTAATGCCACGTCAATACTTCACATAGTCAAATATAATTTGACGTTATAAAGGAACCATTGTATCAAAATTTCCCTCAAAGGTAAATTATTAATTTTGACATCTAATATATAGAATTCTCGTGTCACAATGTTCGTTCCCATACTCCTCCTACACGGCTCGACCGATTCTTACGATATGTTTTATGCATATTCAGTAAGTCTGAGAATTGGCTACTATATATTATATATATCTTTCGAACCCGTTAATGACAAGGAGTGTCCACCTCAAAAAAAAAATATTTTTTGACAATTTTTTTTGTTTTTATTTTTTTAAGATAAAGCATACAAAAATACAGACAACCCTTAATTTTCATCTACCCTCTACGATCAACCCCTATTTTTATTTGTTAGTTAAGAACTTATAACTTGGACTCTGAGGTTTATACTCGTATGTATAAAAAAATTTACAGAAAAACCTAAAAAGTTTTCATTCCGGAAAACCGAACAGTACCTATCTGGAGTAGCATAGCAAAATGTTCCATGTTGGTATGTACTAAAAAGGTAGGCTAAGTAAAATCACATTAAGGAGAAACGAAGTTTGCGGGGGCACCTAGTAATATCTAAAAACTAGTATTAAAATTTATCTCACTGTGTATGAAACGCTTCCTATGACTGCTTCTCCCGTTGCCTCATTCTTATCATTCCTTAAGAGTTTTCCCTCGCTGGAAATCTTTGTTCCATCCGCTGTATCGTAGCTGTAAATAATTAATACAGAAAAATATAAATCCGAATGACCTTTGTTCTTATATATGTTTGTTTTTGTGGCTTAAGAGATAAGGAACACGCGCAGGTCCCGGGTTCTATTTGCAGCTATAGCGTTTATTGTACATTAATACTAAAGTGGTGAAATATTGTATTGATAAAAAAGTATTGCCTACGATTTTATATCAACAATACCAAAAACATCAGTGCCTTACAATCTTTTTAGGCCTGGGCCTCAGATTTCTGTATCTGTGTTATGATCATTTGATAATCTAATCAGCCGCCGTCGACTTTTTGGATCTAAAGCCGGTTTCCTCGCGATGTTTACCTTCACCGTTCGACCGAACGCACATAGAAAGAAAGTCTATTGGTGTGCAGCCGGGTATCGAAGCTACGACCTTAGGGATGAGAGTCGCACGCTAAAGCCACAAGGCGAACACTACTTTAAACAATACTATGTTTAAAAAAAATTATTCAATTATCATTGGTTAAACGAAAATTTGTCCCATGTAAGCAACTTTTAAATTATATTCTATACTTTGTAAATGTGTACCTGTAATGAAAGTTGCCATTGTGTGCGTAAACAAAGTTCGTCTCGTCTAAAATTTTCACAACTGGAGGGCGCATGCGCGACCGTCTTTGGAATTCTACCCTTTTGCTGTCTTCTTCGGGACGTTTAGGAAACAATGTTACGCCTTTAACTGTACTCACAGTTGTTATTTTCGGTAACGGAGTCGTGGATTTGATAGTACTTTGTGTTGTTTGCGTTACATTCTTGCTACCTTGCCGTATTAGCTTCCGCCTTCTGGGTTTTTCAGGTTTTGCTGATGTTACTTCATAAACTACAGTCACGGGAATTTCGTTTTTGTTATCTTTTAGTCGTGTTTCGACTGGAATTTCTCGCTTTTGTACATGTGTTTCGGGTGATTCGAAGAATTCAGAATGTACTTTTGGATATGTATACAATCTATTTGTTATCTCATCCACTGGCACATTATTTTCATCACTTCCATCACATAGACAAACAAACGACACAAGCAATGCAATTAATCGAAAATACATCTTTTATTAAATTCAAATGCGTCATAACACATCAAATACTCGAGGATGAATCGACGCTAGTAGACAACCCACTTGTCAAACAAGATTAAAAAACATAATACCAATAAAAAAACAATTCTTACGAAAAGTTAATGTCGGAGCATAGGTTAATGCGGAAGCGTGGCAAAGTTAATGGCTACTAAACATTAATATTAGAATAGTATTTTCGATATTTGATTACGCATTGATAAAGAAATGTTTCAAAATTTGCGATGAGAATTATACACAGTTCTAGTTTGACCTCCCCGGTATTTTAGTAAATAGTATGTAATGTAACAAAAGACGACGCCATTTATCAGGCACTTCTTCTTTAGAAAAGGCCCAGAATTGCGGTAAATTAAAAATGGTGGTGGTGTTTTAATGGACTGTAATTAGACTATTAAATAAAACAAAATCATATATAAATATGGTCTTCACACGTTAACTAAAATATGAGTTATTGTCAAATTTAAATGCAATATAAATAATAAAGCCTATTATAATATACAAATTCATAACTCTAGTTTTTAGAAACCCATGATATATTAATTCATGCAATATAATGTTTTTATAAAACGTGCTATATTGGTTACTTAAACATTAAAAACTGGATATTATATCTCTTTAATTTAGTTTCGCACTTCAATCGTGCAATTTTGATGGTTTAATGGTAAAAATGTTATATTGTATAACATATAATTTGCATAAAATGTTGGATAAGTATTTGTTTTATTGGGTTGGCTGGAAGCTGTTGATATAACAATGCATTACAATTTTATTAAAGATTTTTGTTTTATCGTTATTATATAAAGGTGATAATTTTAAATTCACGTACTACAGTACTAAAAATGTTAAATTAGCATTAGCATTATTACAAATTTAAAAATATGTAAAATAATTGTAAATTTATAATAATACATAACTTCAATCCGGTAAAAAAGTGTTTTCTTTAATTTAACAATCAAATCAAATCCCGAACCCAATCCATAATTCGTAATTTCTCCCAAACAAGTAAACATAAAATATCAACAATCTCCAAAGCTTACTATTACTAAAAGATAAACAAAAGCTTAAGTGCAAAATTACCTAAACTAAATACACGTCAATGACTAGCGGTTAAATCACAGGCTCACCCTTCATGTCACATATTGACACCTCGATTGTGCAATTTTCCGATGAACATCAGCCGACCGTTAAGGCTGAAGTATTTAGCGTACGCTAAGGCTTCCCCGGCGGGGGGGAGGGTAGTGTAAATAGACGAATATACATATAAGTCGTCATAGACTCTGGAGTATCATTAGCTTTTTGGGAAGTTACACAAGATGTTTTGTCAAATTGTCCTATTTACTTTGATTGCTGGTGTCTTCGCAGCGCCTCCGGTGGATGTAGTGCCGCTGGAGAGTCAGCAGCCAACGGTCATTCCAATCGTGTCGCAGTCAGACGAATTAGAATCCAACGGGACATATCACTTCAGGTACTAAATTATTATGTAGATATCAAAATTAGAGTCAAATTTTTAATTAAAAAAAATTGGAACAATACGAAATGTTTTAACATCGTCGCTCTTAAATTTAATAGTATTTTATTATTCATAAATAATGTTATAAAATTAAAAACGCTATTTTCTAGCGTCGAGCTTTATATATTATAACGTAAAGGTTTTTAACCTTATTCTCAGTCATGTTTCAGTAACGCATTTAAATTATTAACAAAAGTAAGCATTTGAAATGAAATGAAACCCATGAAAATAGTTTAAGCTTGAAGGAAAAAGTATTCTTTAATATTTCTATTATTACAGCTACGAAACTGGAAACGGAATCAAACGCGATGAAATAGCCTATGAAAAAGTCATACCGAAAGCTCGATCTGCGAATAGCAATGAAGGCGGAGAGGATGACAGCGAAAGCGATGAAATTCACGTTCAACAGGGCTCTTACTCCTATACAGGCCCCGATGGAATCGTGTATACTGTAAGGTAAGTAATATACGAAAAATATAGTTGCTAAAACCATACACCAATATACAGTATTTACTATGTTGTTAACCTTAATAAGGTAACAAATAATATTTAAAAATTGATAAATGGAAAATTTAAAAAGTTTGGTCCATTTGTTTGGAATCTCCCCTTTAATCGTACGTGTTATGTTGTAGAAATTAACTACATTTATAAATCAATAACTGAACCCTTGGTCAATTTAACATAAAATGAGTACTTGGAGGCGAATCACCATATTTACATTTTTGTGATATTCTTCATAAAAAGAACATATTTTGCAAGTCAAAATATGGATCAAGGAATAGATACCGCTAGGACTATTTTGTGTCAGAACTTTATAACATCTCTAAGAAAATCTTTTCTAGATATTTGATCTGTTTTTACTTAAGACAATTTTTTTGTTAAACATATATAATAACATTTAATTATTTTAACTTTATTTACTTTACATATCTACATTTATTATATTAACATTTGTATTCCAAAGGGATAGGCAAAGACTACTGACCTTCAGTACCTGCGATCTTAACATACCTCTTTAGTTCCGTACATAATTTAATTCATTTCTCAAAACACATTATAATATAATTTTCATATGTTTCATCAATCCATTATATCTTTAAAGGTACATAGCAGATGAAAATGGTTTCCAACCGATAGGCGACCACTTACCACGAGTCCCAGGGAACACTCAGAGCAGTTCTGCTGAAAAATCTGGAAGGGCACTTAAGATTGATAGTACTGTTTCTGCCTCGTCACCAAATCAAGTTCAAGCGGTAGTACCTCCACCTGCAAGCCCAGTTGAATCAAAACCAGCTGAAAGTATACAAACTGCTGAACCTTCTGTCACAGCTGATAGTAACGCCAAGTCATCAGACAGTGTAGAATCACGAGTAGAAGAGGCACCAGTTGCTGCCACAGTGACTACTTCTGCGGCATCAGAAAGTGTAACAGCTAACGCTGAACCAACTTCCACTGAATCAGTGTCAACCAGTGAAAGTGTTAGTGACTCCAGCACAACAGTAAAGGTAGAATCACCTGTATCCACTGAGGCAGCCACAGCCGCAGAGATCTCCACTGCCGTACCTGAAGTAGTATCCACCGCAGTACCTGAAGTAGTATCCACCGCAGTACCTGAAAAAGTCCCCGCTGAAGGAAGTGGTGACGTTTCAAGCACCACTTCTGCTACCGAACAAGTCTCAACCCTGGCAGCAGAACCAGCAGCAGGTGAAGTTAGCCAAGTTGTTTCATCTGAAGCGCAGCCTTCAACAACTGTCTCCGACCAAGCTGCAAATAATGCTGACCCAGCGACAGTAGAGGCAAGTTCTACAACAGTATCTGCGTAGTCTACTCTAATCTTCACTATCACTATTACATATAATTATTTGTATGATATTGGACAAGAATTCAATTCCTGGGTCATTTGAATAAAGGAATTATGGTACGGGTAAATTGTAACTGAGCAACAAATAAACAATTTCTAAAAAAAGTGATACGATCTCAATTTTGAGGTTGACTAGATATTATTTAAGTTTATTAATATTAAATCTCTATTTTAATTACAACTTTGTATTGTTTATCGTTTTTTTTAAATTATAATCCACAAAGTGGAACGTGGTAGGTACTTAAAAAAATGCACGTTCATGAATAATTATTTGGAATTTGCGATGATAGTATGTCTGCATACCACAAATTTATTACTAACTTAAATTATTAAGTGCCTTTGCACGGCTATACTATAAAATATCTTGGAAATAATTTCAATATTACTAAGGGATAACGTGGTAGATCTTGGGTTTAAAATCTTAAAGACGCGTGGCGGTGACGCGACTGAGGTGTTTTCGTGTGCCTCGCTACCCTTTGAATAGCAGAGATCTTTTAGTGTAAACCCAGCCCCACAGTCCCGCGTCAAGTGCAACATACGTGGTGCAGGATGACGTAAGCGCTTTCTCATCTCCTTAAAAATCAGTCTGATGATGAAAGATCTTTTCAATCAGTCCTATCGTTTCGAGTTTATCCGTTACAATATACAAGTTTCTTTATAAATAGTAAGGATACACCCTACCACTCAGCCCGCAAGAGTGCGTACGTCACAATCGCATAGACAGGTGTTAGATTTTTACCACACTCGTAAATGCATTCCAAAGGCATGATAGATTAAAGTAGAAATCAAATGTCAAGATCAAATCGGTATCACCAACGCATTTTCTTGGAGCATCGTTGCGCCTCCTCTCACTTTATTGTGAAACAAATGACGTGTCGCACTAGTACTTATACCAATTCTAGGTATAATTACCACAAAGGATCAACCGGATCTCATATTTATTTTTAATATTATTCTTTAAACTTGATAATTAAGTTGAAATAACTAAATAGATAATTATAAATTTATAGGCTTATATAAAACTTATTTAATGGATTTCAACATGAATTTATTATAATACTAGCAGACCCGCCAAGCGTTGCTGTGGCTAAGGTTTTTGTTATATTACATAGTAGCAAACTATTCAAGGGAAACGGTAGGACAACACCAGCCATGGGAACCACCATGCTTTTTTGGTGGTTATGCCATTAAATTGTAGCTTATGTGAAACGTTGGTACTTTCAACACAGCGCCATCTGTTAGAATTGTGACTATCAAATAATAAACAAATATTTTGCAAAAAAATAATATTGCGGGTATAAATTAAGATGTAAGCTATCCTATCTTTTAAGTTGGATCAAACCACACACGGTGTGCAAATTTGATTGATATCGGTTCGTTAGTTTAGGAGTCCATCGCGGACAAACAATGTGACACGTAATTTATACATATTAAGATTTACATTACTCAACGTTTTGAGTTCTTAACAGTCTTCAGAAACCCTCCTGTTGATTAAGATAAGAGAATTCTAACAAAGTTTTATTTAAATGTGTACCTACTATAAACCAAAATTTTATTATTCATGTAGGTAAAGGTACGGTATACATTTTACAGGTACGAAGTTATATTAGATTGATAATTAATATTGTATTCAAAAGTTTTATAACCATTAAAATTTGTATACACAATCAAAATTTTTTCGTTAATACTTAATTTATTAATACAGGGATTTTAAATAAACTTACACTATTACCAATTTTCCAGCTAACTAATTCAAACTTGTATTCATATATTAGGTTAGATCAGCAAGAGCTAAATCGCTGATTTGATTATCAGCAAAACAATTATTGATTTAGCAGTACCTAGGCTAATTAAATGCGTTTTCTCCTTATAGAGATATAAGATTATGTGAACGAACAAAGAACAAAAAAAAGACGCCACAAATATGTGATTCGCATAAATATTTTTGGAAGAAAATGCCTCCGTGACCTAATGCAAAGATTGTGTTAACCTTGTACGGTGCCTCCTCAAATATTCCGCGTTCGTCCTCACTGTTTAGGTTTAAGTATTTTTATATCAGACATCATTTAAATAAATTTTAAATAAAAACTTTATGTAAATCAATACATGTTACAAAACCTTTTAAAATTTAATAATAATAGGTACTTTATTCAGATAACCGCCTTATGGAATTGGAAGCTGTCGTGAGCTTAGTACGAACCTTTGCGATAATTATTATTTACGAATATTAAAATGTATTCAATACAATATGCATTATTTAAAAGTAATTTTGTAAAATGTATTCAATACAATATGGATTATTTAAAAGTATTTTTTTTTGTGTTTCTGTCTTGAAAAGTCCGATACGTCGACTTGTTGTCTCTACACCGCTCTATCCTCAGCTTGTCAGGGCATAAGGGAAGTTGAGACCCATAATTGTCTTAATTTGGTCAGAATTGGGTAGGTGATCGACCCCAACTTCTTCTGTCATCAGTCTTCCCTACCATTACCTGTTTGTCGAGACTATTCGTTCCTCTCCTGGCAATATTAGCTAAGCAACTATTAAAAGTAATCATAATTTAATTTAAATGTGTCAATTAGGGCAATTGGGGTAAGCGAACTCGTACTTGTATCTTGTTTCGCTTAGAAATATCTATCTCTGAATGTGGCATTCTTTGTTTGTGTATTATAATTAATTTTAAAATATCAGCATTGTCTACCAACTTAAATATATAACATTAACTTTAAATATTGAGCATTCATCACTTAGTATGTGATCAAAAATTAATTCAGAAAGCTCTTAAATTAACATCAGCATAATATTTAGTTTTATATATTTGTTCACCGTGATTTTTAAAGACATTTTATTGAATATAGCAGTTACCTGTAAATTACTCTTACATTTTTACACAACGAAAACAATTCACTGTACTAAAGATTAAATAATGGGATGGTCCTATAATAGCAAGGTGATTCGAGTAAGCTACTGACATCGAAGATATGCAATAAGTCACAATCACTTGGCCTGTCTACATTCCACTATCAGGCATCTTTTGTTTTACAGAATTTGTTTTGTTTATAATTCTTGTTTACGTACATTCCATGACATATATTTTTTTACAAGGAATCGAACCCAGAATCTCAGAAATCACTATGCACATAGGTTAAATTTATCTATATTGAGTAAATTTTTTCGCAACGTGGCACTTTTATAAAGTACTAAATTCTTTTAAATTTACATTTTCATCTTTAAAACATAGCATTAACAGGGGCAAAATTTAAGGAAGGACCATTTCCTTATAAACAAAGAAGAAACTGTATAGCGCTGAATCCTGGACAATACGGACATCTGAAAGGAGAAAAATAGATGATTCGTGACTGGCAGAGTGGAGGCCCTTCCCCTACCCGCCGGATCGATCAAGTAAAGGCCTTTATAGATCTTATCATCACCCAAGCGCAGAAGCTTGCCGACACCAAGGGGAGAGTGAAGGAAGTTGTGGCGAAACCTAAACTAACACGACGTTCAGAAATGAAGAGTGCGACTAAACAAGAAAAAACGTTGTCGAAGTAAATTTTTATAAAAATTTAAAACATCATCAATTTGTATTATTTATTCAAGAATAGCAACAACAAACACGCTCTTAGATCGACTAATAACATTTTAATATAATCAATAAACAAAAGTATTAGACGTTCTATATTTAAAACTTTCAACTAAAATGTAACTAAGCCTTTAAGCTACAATAGCTATTGTGGAATATTATAAAATCGTAAATAAAAATAGTTTTATCTTAATTTTTATTAAACATTATCATTATTATTCGTTCCCTATATGTTTACACAGGCGTTTACCTGCATCTTACTTAAAGATACTTATTTTATTCTCTTAAACAATGCCATGTCATATATGACACAGAGATAAGGTTATATTCACAATAGAGTTTAAACATTAACTATAGTAAATCTGGAATTATAAGGCATATAAAATTACAACGTAGTAGAGCAAATATGCGCAATGGGTAAGTTATGGGCGGGGAGTTATGTAACGAAAACTAACGGAAGATTCATCTAGTAGGCAGAAAGGCTGTTGCCAAATAAAGATTGCAATCAATTGGTATCTTGAAATTGGTAGATTTTTGCTTATCTCAAAGCTTTTAAGACGTTACCCACATGTAGTTTGTCAACTTTTGTTACATATCTCTCTCTATGTTCAGTTATTTCTGTCTGTTAACCCACCCAAGAAATATTTTTTTTTTTTTTTTAATTTTAAGGAATTTAAAGGAATTTGTACTGTGGTGTAGCTCTTCCTACGGTTTTACTTTACGGTTTTTTGGTGTTTTTGTACTCTTAGTTTATTTATAATGTGTAAGCAATAATATAAATTAAAAAAAATTGTTTTGCTTCATTTATAGTTTTTAATTCCAAAAGTAGATTGCCCTTATATACCTACCAATACAATCATTAAGATGTTACTAGTATAAACCATAGGTTATAATAATTTTTTAATTGATAGTTATAATAATTATGTACAATTACAATACGCAGACAAGTCGCCGACAATTATTTATACATTACGTTAAACAAATATAACGAGTTTGTGTATATTTTTTTTCCTAAATAAAAGCTATTGAAAATTGTCCCTATAAAAATATTAATTAAAACCTGGAGTGACCAACCTTTGAACTTGTTTCTTGTTTCATTGTGACACGAACAACGGGTTATGTAATAAACGATTCCTACGAATACCTTTCCTTATAGATACTACGCGTAAAAATAGCCAATTTTATTGGATTTAAATGCTTAACTTAAGTAATTTCAAGTATTTGAATTATGTTATTAGACTTAACTTAGGATGAAACCAATTTTTATTATCATTTACTGTGCTCTGTAAAAAAATTAATAAATCATTTTCCATGTAACCTGGATGGTACTATATTAAGTCTCTGTTTCCATAGATATTTCCACAAATATAGGCTTCTAGCTTATTCGAAATCAATAAACAAATCTAAATTAAAATTATTCTTAAAGCACCTGTTAAGCACGTGTTACAATTTCCTTCAAGCAACGTGTGAACTTTTGAAAATAAGAAATTTCAAATATAGAATTCCCACAGATCTTATCCCTTGACTACAGACAATAGAGTATGAAAATATTGATAACTGATAATCCAATATTGCAGAGACAAATCGGGTATGAAAGTGATGGCTCAGGGCAGAGCGAGTGGCAGGGGTGTCGTATATAAGTGAGCGGAGAGCTACCATTTTGAATAGTTCCGAGAACCACTGTGCTACACTGTTGCACGTCCCATTCACAAGCATCATGAAATTACTGGTAAGTCCCAAAATTATACTTAAATTAAATAAGTCATCATGCCGACTTCTATTTAAGGAAAGTATATTTTTTTGTTTTATTAATTACTTAATTAGCGCCTATTAAACCTAAATTTTCTTCATAAATATATGTTCAAATTTTACTTAAATAAAGCTAAGTTCTTGCTTCAAATCTAGATGGATAACTTCAAAAAGCTTTCATTAAAAAGCTAATTAAACGTAATAAGCGTAATAAGCGTATGTAATTGGGTCAGTTTGATTTGAATCTATTACTAAGGTTTCCGCAAGAGGCTGTAATATCGAAATAAGGTTAGTAGACGAGTCGGTTGTTGAACTTTGACATAATACGCTGGGTGTAGTTAACATTAGTTCTATTTCTTAATCAAAATGCTTCGGAAAGGACAAAGTTTGAAATTTGAATGTACATGTAATCTACAATCTTGCATGATTGCGTTTAAATAAGGAAGTAATGTTTCATAATTATTTTTTACTGTATTTAATAATCATTAGGTGAATTACCTCATTTGTTCGTACAAACAGCGTGTGGACTTGCATAACATTATCTAGGTCAAACACTAAAGATTGACCTAACAGTCGAGATGAAATAGATTTAGCAACTGGGTATTTGATAGTAACAGATAAAAATGCCATCTGCTAATGTGATAATCTCGACCTTGACATACAAAACCTGAACCTTTTGGACATAATTCACGCTTTATCGATTTGTGTAACATCAATTAAAATTTCTACACCTCGTTTATTAAGTTGACATTTGATAATTATGGATGTACAATATTGACATTGGAAAATAGAATCGTAATTTTTTTACTTTTCGAACATGTTTGGAGTTTCAATTCTACTTGAAATACATAGATATCTAATATTCAAATTTCGAAATTATACCCTATACCGTGTTTCGGGTGTCACCAAATCATCGTTATTGTTAAACTTTTCGAAAAAGTTTGTAGTTTCATTTTTACTATATTACAATACTTGGCGATTAAAAAGAGTGGCGGAAAGTTTCTTGCCAGTTCTTCTTACCCGCTCTACGCCCTTGACTTGCGAACTGGTAGTAAATGTAAATTTACAATTAATTTAACTTCTTTCTGACAATTCATAGGTGTAGTTGTTTACCTACATGAATAAAGATATTTTGAGTTTGAATTTGAGTTACTGTCTATGGCATTTATCAATAATATTCAAATTTCGAACTTATACCGTGATTCGTGAGTCACGAAATAAACGTTATTTTTAATCTTTTCGAAAATGTTCGGGGTTTCATTTCTACTTGACATTTATAGATAATATTTAAATTTCGAACTTACATACCGTGATTCGTGTGTTACCAGACAATCGTTATTTTTTAACTTTTCGAACATATTTGGAGTTTCATTTTTACTGTCTATGACATTTATAGATAATATTCAAATTTCGAACACTATATCGTGATTCGTGCGTTACCACACGTAGAGTAAACAGATGTTTAATTTACCTAAACGTAATTGGATCTTTCAGGCGTAACCTATTCGTTATGCGCAAGTTAGATCATACCGGTTCACGATCATTGCGTCTGAACTCGACTAGCATTGTGTAATACATTGTTAGATGTGAGATTCAATGGTAACGAAGCGTAAAGCACTCAATGAAAACAATGTTGGGTTATGGACAGCCAATACGTGTTTTACTGGGCTCGCTTTCGCCCAAGCGATGTCGTAATAATATAGTATTGTATCCGCTCCACCTCATCTTGCGACATCTCGTATATGATTAAGCTCTTCGTGTGACATCATTTTGTATTACTTGATACTGAGAATTTAATTTACAATTGCTATAATACTAGGGATTGCGTGTGAACGCGCTAGTAATGGGAGTTAAACTTCCTCAAGAGAAAAAGTTTTGTTTAAATTAATAATCTGTATACAGGCAAGCTAATTACCTTCCTTGCGGTATTTAAAATAAAAAATATGTATAAAAACATTGCTGTTTCGGAATGGAACCATAAAGTGATACGAGGTTTTTATATACCTATATATAAACTTAAACAAAGTTAATTCTGTTTTTAAAGCAAAATTATTTTGAGAAATATACTGTTTTACAAGTGATTTCATTACTTAACATTGCCGGAACTGAAGAGAGCCGTAACACTTACGATGCATTTACCAAACGTAACCTTATTTACATTATTGCCTTAGCATCCCCTTATAACAATTTACATAATTTCGTTTCAATTGCAATAATCCTTTATTAAATTGAGCCTGAAATATCAATCGCAACATGAATTTAGACGTCTTATTTTACATTTGTTTTCTTGTTATAATAATAATGAAATCATGGCCTATCTTGGGCTTAGATTGCATTTATTTTTTTATAGTTTTTCGTTTATAAAAGAGTCATCCCAGAGGTTGTAGGTTTGAACTAGGCTGTGCACCTATATACTTTTTTTCTAATAGGCAAGTAGGTGACCTGTGTATGGCACGTTTTTGGATTTTAGATATGCCTCACGATGTTTGCCTTCACCGTAGCAGCAAGTTTCAACTGATGACATAAAAAGTATATATATCCATATATATCACGTTTTAGCCTCTTGGCTAACACACCTCTTTTGTTTTTTATGTTATGTTTATAGTACATAAAATATATGAAACGAAAGTTTTATTAACAGCTCAAATTGTGTTTTCAGATTGTATTATCAGCAGTGCTGGCCCTCTCAGCGGCTGTACCTCAAAGAAGGCTATCTCTTAAACCAGAAGGCCAAGAGGACCAACAGACCGCCGAACAAAACTACAACAACTACCAACAAGGTGACTACAGGCCCCAACAAGCACAGGAATTCAGGAAACCAGTCGAAGATTTCCGGCCCCGTGTTGAACTTGACACCACAACATACATCCCAATCATTCACTTCGACAAGGAACAATCTAACGATGGCAGTTACAAAACATCGTAAGTGACTTCGGGATTTTAATTAATTTATTTATTTCGTAATCCTACAGCTAACAAAAATTATATATAATAACAAACAGTTACACTGAAAATATAGCCAGACATGGAATACATAATATTTAAAAACAAAAAGGTTCATAAATTTACAAAAGGAAACAAACAAAAAAAATATTCAATAAGTGGTACCTAATTTAGCTGTGTTGTGTGGTAAAACATTTTGGTAACAACAAAAAGTTTTGGCTCAGAAATTTTTGTCTTATCCAATATTCTCAATTAGTAATTTCAGTCAAAGTAGTGCCTAAAGCTAGTTACACACCACTTGTACTTTCGTGAATTTTGCCTGTATGTTTCCCATACAACTTCTACTTTCTTAATGTATTTACCTATGAAGACATTTAATCTGTTTTAGAATTAAAATATCTTTACGATTGCGAAACTTTTATTATGTCTGGGTACTTACCTTAGTTGCATTTTCTAGCCAATTACGCTTTGACCAAAATAATTATTGCAACAAATTGTTTTTATTCGGTTTTATTGACAACTTATTTTTAGTTTTTATAGTGACCTTTAAGTATTATTCCATTAATGTTGTAGTACCAAGCAGTGATTGTACAAATATATCAAACCTTTAACACAACAATCACTTTAGCAACAGGTATTTACAAAAATATGTACCTAGGTATATGTCGCATACCTTTACAGCCCTGCGATTCTGTAACTCACTTTTCGCTTGCTTTGCGCGACCGCCGCTGCAAAACCGCTGTGCGAGTTTGAAAAGTGAGTTACAGAATCGCAGGGCAGGCCTTTTAGCTTAGGCCACCTTTTACTACTTCCACTGCTTCCTACCAGACTATCCAACATAGTTTTATGATCCATTTCTCGGTTACCAGACGGCACCTTCATCCTATATTTTGAACCGTAGTCGATACACTACATACGCTTATAAGTTATAACATATTAATTATGTAATGTATGTATTTAATTACAGATACGAAACTGGAAACAATATCCACGCTCAAGAAACAGGATACCTGAGGACTGTAAGCACTGACAACGAAGACATACCAGCTCTTGTCCAGCAAGGTTCCTACTCCTACACCGCACCAGATGGTCAAATCATCACCGTAGAATACACAGCTGATGAGTTCGGATTCAGGGTCAAGGGTGACCATATTCCAACTCCTCCTCCAGTCTCCCCTGAAATCCAAAAGGGACTTGATCTGATTTACGCTGGAATCAAGGCTAACGCGGTAACTTATACGCTAATAAAAATTTTTTAACAGTATTTTAATTAAACATTCAAGGTTAAAAAACAATCTCTGAGTCTATATTGTTCTAAGAGAATGGTTTTAATCGTAATCTTTCAAGATTTGCGATATGGGGTAAATCGTAAGTAATTTAATATTTGTCGGAGCAATGGCGCTGGTTAGAGCTGCCATTTTCATTATAATTTTATAATATCACAGTCAAATTAGTTCAAAACCGTAAAATAGTTTATTTTATTTACCAATGTTTATACATCTAACAACATTGACGAATTAACTAAACCATTCGTATTAACGGTTTTAAACCAATTTGACATTGACGTTACTAAATGATAATGACAATGGCAGCTGACACTAACACCATTGCTTCAACATAAATAATAAAGACTATTAAATTACTACAGACTATCAAATAGTCGTTAATTTGTAATTGGTATTAATAACAGTTTTAACTAATTTGACTGTGATAGTATTAAATTAAAATGAAAATGGCAGGGGTTCGTGGACTCAGTTTCCGCACTTAGACACATAATTGGTCCGTTGTGCCTTAACTGAAAATGGCAGCTGACATATACAAAAGAACTTAGCCTAAATCTTCCATAGTTCTACTGGATAACTGATAGGTAGTACTGAATTGGTACAATGAAATGCTCGAAGGATTTCTGTTACTAAAAGTAATGGATAGGACACCACAGTTTATACAAAATTTTGCTATTACAGGAGCGTGCTGCTTTGGACGCTAAGAACAACCCAGCAGCTGCCAAATTAAACGACGAACAGGCTTCCCTTAACTACAGAGGACAATACAATGGACAACAATAGAATGGACATTCCAGTGAATATCAAAACCACACCTTATGCCCTATGAGCATTAAAGTCAATCAGTGTTAATAGTAAAATCAGTACTTTCGTGAAATACAGTTCTTTGTGATACTTTTTATATAATAGATACTAAGTATACCGTTAATTATTTTTAAGGTAGCGGTTTTCCAATCGCATGATTTTTATATTGAGGCTTATGCGTATTGGAAAATTCGGCCATCTAGTTATTTATCACTGCCCATATTAGATTTATGTGAAATCCGTGAATTCTTCAACGAAATGACTCAATTTAAGAACTAGAGTTTAAGATTTTGTATTTTTGTACATATTTTATAAAGAATAAATGTTGAATAATTGTTTATGTTTTATCTTTTTATAAGTAACTAACTGCCCCCGCGAACTTCGTTTCTCCTTAATGAGATTTTACATAGCCTACCTGTTTAGTACATACCAACATGATACATTTTACTATGCTACCCCAGAGACTGCTCGGTTTTCTGGAATGAAACCTTTTTAGGGTTTTCTGAGATTTTTTCTCTGTATAAACCTCAGAGTTCAAGTCATAAGATTTTAATTAACAAATAAAAAATAGGGGTTGATCGTAGAAGGGTGAAAATTAAGGGTTGTATGTATTTTTGTATGCTGTATCATAAAAAAATTGACTGAATATGCATAAAAAAATTCATAAGAATCGTTCGGGCCGTTTCGGAGGAGTATGGAAACGACCATTGTGACAATAAAATTTTATATATTAGAAGATGAACCTGTAATACTAGAAGCATTCGTAAGTTCGATTCATAGCAACAATCAATATTTTGGTTTCGAAAGCACAGAGCAGAAATTTGCATGTATGTACTTTCATATTCATACAGATACATGGAACACAAGAATTATAATTAATATTTGTATTTTTCAGTTTCCGCTCAAACTTTTCTTAGTATAATAAAAGTTATCGTTATAGCGCACGAGACTTTCAAAAATATACAAAAAAATTACGAACGTTACTCAAGTTTCATTGCGCCTGCCACTACAACATAGCAGTCATGCAATAGTATTTGATATTAATTATGCAAATCATTTATTCATAACAATTTAAAATGTTAATGAATAGTCCTTAAATATTAACAAATGTCTGAAGTAGTATAATTTTATGTCATTCTAAAGCGCCTACCAGTACAGTACAAAATCATCAAGGCGGTTTTGATTTTCTTATTTCTAATACCCTTCAAATTTATTTGAAGTCCAACAAGCATCTCAAATTTTTGTGTTCTCAGGCATGCTCTGACAAAGTTTTTATTCACCATAACGTTTTGTTCGCAAGTGTAATTAAAAAATAAAAAATCACCTTAACATCCGAATTTATATAAAACAGATTGTGTCGGATTTACAATAAAACTGTGATATTAAATAACTCAGTGATAATTTTCAGCAACTCCATAGATACCTTCTGCCCAGTCGTTTTAGCAACCAGTGGCGTAACAATGCAGGCAGGGCTAGCAAAATGCCACGGGCCCCCGACCCAAGAAGGCGCCTGTCCAAGAGATATTATGATCTATGGATGAATGTGAAGTCTCCAATACGTATTGGGCTAGCGTGGGGACTACAGACCATTCCCTCTCGCCTAAGAGAGGAGGCCTATGGACATTAGTGGGACGTATACGTGTAATTGAGTACGCTAAAAATCTCGAAGTTTATTAAACTTAAACTGAGTACAACGAGTCGATTTTTACTAATAGGGGGGCCCTATTAGTAAAAATCAAAAGAATTTGCCACGGGCCCAAGATGGTATAGTTACGCCACTGTTAGCAACCTTGCTTGTGTATCATTTACTATTATTATTTTATTTTGCTCTGCTATTTTCCTACCTAATTGCTATTTAAGTATTTATATTGTATGTGTCTTCATTATTCCATACTAGAAGTCACCTCGGGAGTTGTGTGCTACGATATTGTGAGGAAGTTGTATGGATCTGGTTAGCGCTGTGCCTTCTTAAGTTCCCATGTCATTTTCACATATATATGTGAAAATTACTGGTGTGGCATTACCTATGAGAAAATTTCGACTTGACGTCGACTTTTGGGACACCCTGTATATGTCGGAGTAATTGCGCTGGTATCACACACACACAAACACACACCAAATTTATTTTTACGACTCCGTTTGCAATGTTTTCTTTTGGCACTTAATACCTATTTTCTTCTATTGTATCTTATGACAATGACCTGATTGTACGTGTTCCGGTCCGGAGGTGGAGAGGCTGGCTATCTGTCACTCAGGTCTCCTGTTACAGAGACCAGTCTCTCACATACACTTCCTAATGTTATCATCTTAGTTTAATCATAATAACCTTGTATGTATATGTGAGAGAAGAAATAAAGATTATTATTATTATTTAATAACATCGAAATCAAATTAGTTAATAACCGTTATATGGTTTATTTGATTTGTCGCATAGTCTGTAGTCCATCATAATTTTAAATAATAATAATAATGACTATGGAGTCGTTATTATTCTCGACCATTGAATAGTCGTTTATTTATAGATCTAGCAACATATTACTACAGACAATCAAAAAGTCTGTTAATCGGTAGATTTATTAATATTGGCAAATAAAATAAACCATATAACGGTTTCTAACTAATTTGACTTTGATGTTATTAAATTATAATGAAAATGGCAGCTGATGCCAGCGCCATTACTCCGACAAGATTGTACTTTCTATAACACATTTTCATAAGTATTTGATTGTCCTTATAACATATATGTTGTAACAATGCAGGCAGGGCTAGCAAAATGCCACGGGCCCCCGACCCAAGAAGGCGCCTGTCCAAGAGATATTATGATCTATGGATGAATGTGAAGTCTCCAATACGTATTGGGCTAGCGTGGGGACTACAGACCATTCCCTCTCGCCTAAGAGAGGAGGCCTATGGACATTAGTGGGACGTATACGTGTAATTGAGTACGCTAAAAATCTCGAAGTTTATTAAACTTAAACTGAGTACAACGTGTCGATTTTTACTAATAGGGCCCCATCAAAAGAATTTGCCACGGGCCCAAGATGGTGTAGTTACGCCACTGTTAGCAACCTTGCTTGTGTATCATTTACTATTATTATTTTATTTTGCTCTGCTATTTTCCTACCTAATTGCATGTATGTACATTGTATATGTCTTCATTATTCCATACTAGAAGTCCCCTCGGGAGTTGTGGGCTACTTGATTGTGAGGAAGTTGGATCTGGTAAGCGCTGAGCCTTCTTAAGTTCCCATGTCATTTTCACATATATATGTCGGAGTAATTGCGCTGGTATCACACACACACAAACACACACCAAATTTATTTTTACGACTCCGTTTGCAATGTTTTCTTTTAGCACTTAATACTTATTTTCTTCTATTGTATCTTATGACAATGACATGATTGTACGTGTTCCGGTCCGGTGTGGAGAGGCTGGCTATCTGTCACTCAGGTCTCCTGTTACAGAGACCAGTCTCTCACATACACTTCCTAATGTTATCATCTTAGTTTAATCATAATAACCTTGTATGTATATGTGAGAGAAGAAATAAAGATTATTATTATTATAATTTAATAACATCGAAATCAAATTAGTTAATAACCGTTATATGGTTTATTTGATTTGCCGCATAGTCTATAGTCCATCATAATTTTAAATAACAATAATAATGACTATGGTGTCATTGTTATTCTCGACCATTGAATAGTCGTTTATTCATAGATTTAGCAACATATTCCTACACACTATCAAAAAGTCTGTTAATCTGTAGATTTATTAATATTGGCAAATCAAATAAACCATATAACGGTTTCTACCTATTTTGACTTTGATGTTATTAAATTATAATGAAAATGGCAGCTGATTCCAGCGCCATTACTCCGACAAGATTATTCTTTCTATAACACATTTTCATAAGTATTTGATTGTCCTTATAACATATATGTTGTTTGAGAACATAATACAATAAAATAAATATTTAAGGTGCTACATATATTGTTCGTTATTTTTGATCCTTATATTATTCCTGAATAAGCTTTCTAATTTCATAAATACACTGATATTCAGCTGCCATAATATATAATGTATGACAGCGGTACGAGCTTTGGACTAATTAGTAAATTTGGACGTAATGCAGCAATCATGTTATATAAGTATTGTTTTTTTTATAACAGAAGGCAAACGGGCAGAAGGCTCACTGGTTAAGTGATGTCACCGCTCTTAGACACTCATATTGCCCGTGGGGTCACAAGTGCGTTGCCGGACTTTTAAGAATTGGTACACTCATGAAGAGAGGAAGCTTAGTAATTTGTTAGGCATGTTGCTTGCGGTTTCTTAATTATCATGTACAGTGTACTTCTATTACAAAACTTTTGAGTTGATTAATTTAAAGGTATGAATTCCTTAATAGCGTTATAATATGTATTTATTCTACATATGATAATCAAAGTATTTTATTACTGCCATCAAATACCACCCGCAAAACTGGCTTCTAACGAGTAATTATATTTGGATATTAACAGTTTCATAATGAATCCCTGCCCTTTATGGATATTTAACTGCCCGACTCGGATTTATGAACATCATAATGTATATTTTACACATTATGAATTTAATTAATTCAATTTTCTCTTCTATAAACGAAATAATATTACTTATTATTCTGATGCTATTAATTAAGTTATCATAACAATCAAATATACAGTATTTACAATCTTAACCTACATAGTAATAATAATTAAAATATAATAATAATTTAAAATTTATAAAGTTAGGATCACATATTCTCGCTGTATTACGATACTTATTTGTTAAGCAAGGAAAGCCTGTGCTCTGTGGTCATCTCCCAGTTACCAGCTTAAACCATTCATTAGCGACTTTGTACTTGAAAATAGTTGTTGTTGCATCTTCTTATTTAAATGCATGTCTTGGTGGACAGTAGATTGATCAAATTTTTATTGGACCCTGCCTTGTTTTTAGG